TTGTCTCATTTACCTAATGGCCTTTGGAAGTATAAATTCGTGCCGTAAAAAGGCATTGTCACTGGTGGTCATGAGAAAAGTCATTCAATTAAATCGTGGAAGCTTGCAGTATTAAAAAAACTGCTTCATTAATCACAAGTCGAATGTGCCTCAAGATACGAAATTATATCCACAGCTTTCGTATAACATGTAAAATTTGCAAGCCTAGAGCGTATGGATATCTAACCACAGAAATATGTAGACCGATAATACTCATGTGCTGTGTGTGCAAACTGGAGTGCAACGTGAGAGGGAGTTACGGATGCCTGCATGCCAATTCTTTTATCCCGAACTAACACTTAATTATGGTTTACCGGGAAGTTAACCAGAAGTTTACATCAACGCGTTCCTCGAAATGAGTTAATCTATACCTTCTTGTTCTGACGACCTTGGGAAAATAGATCTGACCTAGGAAACGTACATTAGCGAAAACCTTGAAGTAAGCGCTTACTTTAATTATTACCGAGTGCATTATGATTTCTAAAACACTTCCTACCATACTTGTAATCTTTACTGTGATAACAATATTAAATGCGGATAAGTGTACGTACCGTAAGCATCTGAATAAAAAGATTAGCAAAAAAAGTTTTACATTGGGTGCGGTTACTTTATCGAAGAAAAGCTTACTGCTCTCAGAATGTATCCATGCCTGCTGCATTACACCGAATTGTACGACAATTATGTATTACAATGAGGTAAGATCAATCGCTTCATAATTTGAGACATCCAAATGTCACCTTATAAACTGTTTAGAAGAGAGCGTATGCACTTTCATTGAATCTGGTTTGTACAATTCATACAGCATTAAAAAAGGTAAGAATTCCTGAATTATTTTAGTGAATTCGTGTGTTTTTGCTTTAAATGTAAACATTTGTGTGTAATGAATTTTTATCGTCCTCTTTTTTGTTGCGCGTGCATAGTAGAGCCATAATGAATATTCCCTGCTATCACAGGGCGATGGCCCTAATAGCAATGTTCCGGAACCAAAGGACAGAATGGTTCCAGTGGGACCAAAGGATAGAGGCGAATAGCCTTTGATCCTACTGCGCCGTGATTGTGTATATGGGTGGGATTCCGTGCGCTGACAGGGGGAGGTTACAAGCCGTCATCGAAATCGATGGCGAACACACACAAGCCCCCCTCCACCTGAGAAAAACCTTGCACGCACGCACGCCTCCTACATTTGCTCCCTACCACCTCCCCAAATACGGCGCCTGGATCGATCTCTTGCTTTGGCAACTTTTGCCGATGTATGCCTAGGACGAAAAACCCGTGTTCAGATCACACTAGAGAGATTTTAGTTCACCGTTTGAGAAGGTAGTCAGACAGCAAGTAAAAACTACGTCTACACGTTTGGCTCAGAGTGCACTTGATGCATGTAGTCGCACCCTACCCCCTCCTGCCCCTCTATTCCTAGTCCCCCCTCCCCTATTTGAACGCATTTAGTGTGATCTGAACACGGGATTTTCGCCCTAGACATACGCCGGCAAAAGTTGTCAAAGCAAGACATCGATCCAAGCGCCGTCTTTGGGGAGGGGGGAAGGGAGCAAATGTAAGAGGCGTGCGTGCGCCTAGGTTTTTTCTCAGGTGGAGGGGGGCTTGTGTGTGTTCGCCATCGATTTCGATGACGGCTTGTAACCTCCCCCCAGTCAGCGCACGGAATACCACCCATATACACAATCACGGCGTTAAGACCAAAGGCTATTCGCCTCTATCCTTTGG